TGATGATAAAAGATTTAGATAAAATAGACGTGGAGCTTCCTCTTGTGGGGCATTACGAGAGGTCACAGTCTTAGGATAATGGGTAGCAAATTTAAGACAGAGTTCAGGGGTAACTACTTCTCACAAAGGGTTGTGAATCTATAGAATTCGCTACCCTAAAGTGCGGTGGTTGCTGGGACAGTTAGTAAATTTAAGGAGGAGTTAGACAGATTTTTAACTGGTAATGGGTTGAAGGGTTTTAGGAAGAAGGCAGGAAAATGGAGGTAAGGAGCATATCAGCCATGATCAAATGGCAGAGCAGACTTTGATGGGTCAAATAGCCTAATTCTCCCCCCATATCTTATTAACTTATTGGCCCACACAAAAGCAAGATCCCGCAGATGCAGCAAGTCCTACATAAAAACAGAAAGCACTGCGGAAACTCAGCAGGTCTGGCCACATTTGTGACGAGAGAAAAACAGAGATAATATTTTGTCAATGACCTTTCTTCGGATATGTAGGAGCTGGACAAGTTGACAGTTTTCAGTGGGGACTTTCCATCTGAACATATAAATTAGGAGCAGGAGTTAGCCACTTGGTCCTTTGAGCAGGCTCTGCCATTCAATCCAATTACTCCTCATTTTCACGTACCCCTAATGATCTTTCAGTCCCTTGCTCATCAACAATTGGGATGAACTTGCCATAGTTTACACATTAACTCCATCACATTTGGAGTACTACGTGCAGTTCTAATCGCCCTACTATGAAAAGGATATTATTAAACTAGAGGTGGCACGGTGGCTCACAACGCCAGGGGCCTGGGTTCGATTCCATTCTCGGGTGACTGTCTGTGTGGAGTTTGCACATTCTCCCCGTGTCTGCGTGGGTTTCCTCCAGGTGCTCTGGTTTCCTCCCACAGTCCAAAAATGTGCAGGCTAGGTGAATTGGTCATACTAAATTGCCCATAGTGTTCAGGGATGTGCAGATTAGGTGGGTTATAGGTGGATGGGTCTGGGTCAGCTTCTCTAAGGGTCAGTGTGGACTTGTTGGGCCAAAGGGCCTGTTTCCACACTGTAGGGATTCTATGATTCTATAAAACTCACAATCAATGTGTAGATGGCCCTCCCAGACAACAGAAAACATATACTAGGATGCTACCTGGACTGGAAGGTTTGAGTTATAAGGATAGGCAGGGGCTTTTTTTCCCTGGAGTGTAGGAAATTAAGGAGTGACCTTATAGAAGTCTATAAAATCGTGACAGGCATAGATAAGGTAGATAGCCAACAGATTTTCCCCATGGTAAGGAACTCTAAAACTAGAGGGCATAGGTTTAAGTTGAGAGGGGAAAGATACAAAATGGTTCTGAGGGGCAATTTTTTCACAGAGAGGGTGGTGAGTGTCTGGAATGGGCTGCCAGAGGTAGTGGTAGAGGCAAGTACAATTTTATCATCTAAGAAACATTTGGACAGATACATGGAATGGGATGGGCAAGGAGGGATATGGACCAAATTCAGGCAAATGGGACTAGTTTAATTGTGAAAACTGGGCAGCATGAACAAGTAGGTTGAAGGGCCTGTTTCCACATTGTAAACCTCTATGACACTATAACTGTCTACTTTGGCTATGAATGATAATTGACCTGCTGAGTGCTTTGGTATCTGTTTCTGTTTCAGAATTCTGGCATTTGCAGTTTCTCTCTTTTTCAGGACTCTGTACAGTGATTAGGTTTTCAAATGCAGCATGCAGCGCTTGGTATAAGAGGCATTAGATCTGCCTTGAAAACCTAATGCAGTCATGAGGATGAAGATTGTGAAAGATAATACCTATTAAGGCAGTATTCTCTCAAACTGAGAATATAGAGGAACGATGTAATTGAGTTGTTCAACATGGTGGTGGTAATTATAGACAAGGTAAATACATTGGAGCGTTTCTTCCAAGGCCAAGGACAAGAAACACTAATCCCAAGATCAGTACTAGAAATAGAAAAGGAAGATTCTAAAGCGCTTCAGAAGAGCTATTGGAGTTATCTTTTGTTCAAATTGTTCATTGGTATTAAATCACTAGCTGTTTCAATCACTGAAAGGGAATGGTGAGGAATTTTCTTGATATAATTACTTTAATTCACAATATTCAAGAAAATGATATTTGAATCATGTGGTTTTTCATATCAGAAAAGGTTCGGGTCTCTCCTCTTTTTAACAAAAAATGCTGAGATGAGCTCCATAACCCTTTCATTAACCTAGCACACACATTGTACCTATCTGTGGAAAGACTTAAAAAATTTGTATCTTCTTTAAAACAACTAGTGACACTACAATCATATAAAATTATCAATCCAACAGACACCTCAAAGTATCAAAAGAAAATCTATAAACACCTGACACCTCATTGTCTTGTGTAAATAAAATGCAGCCATTGGCAAATTAGATCTAAGAAAAAAACCTGTCAATTATACAACATGTTTGTGTCCTTGTGTGCACCTGTCTCAGCATACTATTGAAAGTCTGGGCTTTCAAACTGAGAAAAGGTTTTGATAAGGTGGATACAGGGAGAATGTTCCTCTTGTTGGGAAGAGCATAACTAGAGGCCACCAATAAAAGACAATCACCAAAATATCCAATGGGGAATTCAGAAGAAATTTCTGTACATAGAACACTGGGTTTTCACATTGATGGCACGTAGTGAGAGTTGGAGATTCCTCAGTTCTGAGGAAGGGTCACCGGACCCAAAACGTTAACTCTGATTTTTTTCTTCACAGATGCTGCCAGACCTGCTGAGCTTTTCCAGCAACTTCTATTTTTGTTGGAGATTTCCCAGTTCAGTGCATTTACCTCAGGAAAGGAAAATATGTCCAAAGGCACAAATTTCATTCCAGGGGTCTGGGTGCACACTGGCATCAGGATCACTGCCCCTACCCCTCACTCCCTGAACAGTTTGGGCAAGTGATTGCGCCAACACGTTAGTTAAAAGGCCAGTTAAAATACGATTTCATCGCAGTTGTTTTGTTCAATCTGAACCCCTCCAACTTGCACATTCTCCATCTGAAAGCCCTGACTTCCAAGAATTTGCTGAACAAGGGTACACCAGTTGCTTGAGTGACAGCCTTTCTTTTTCTTAAGTCTACTTTGTCAATGGCTCACATTTTATTTGCTTGCTTCAATACAGCATGTAAGACTGGGTAATTAGAAGTGCCATGAGTTAGCACAAAGGGTTTAAAGACCATTAGAGTGGGTGGAGGGTGTTATGAACCAGATCAAACCCCCTTAATATATATCAAAGCGATAGCTTAGACCCTAACTTTGATCTCCTTATTTGAAGGCAAGTGTAAGGCACAATGTTCCAGATGTGATTCAATTGGTCAAATTTCTATGCTTATAGCAAAACACACTTTATTCTTACACCACAGTTAAAATATAAACAATAAAAGAATTGGCACAACTTTAACTCTGTTGAAATACTTAACAAAAGAACATATTATTTAACTACTAATCATCAACTATTCCAATATAGCAGAATCCCACAAATATACCCTTAGCAAAGGCAAATACAGACACACAGATTGTCTCATGTGCTATCTCTTTTCCAGTCCAGAAGAAAGGAACACCGAAAGAGACTATCTAGAAGCTGAGAAAGAACTCAAATCTTTAGCTGCAGCAGAGACAACTGTATTTAGCAGCTTCAACACCCAACTCCCAAAGCCCTCAATTTCAACTGAAAGCAAAACTAAAACCTGGGTTAGTGTGAGCCTGACTCAACCCTCTCATGCTTCTTTTGTCTAATAAAAAAAAACACTCAGGGAGCTCAAAGCTGTTAGCCCACTACTTCTGAAGCAAGCATTCTGGCTCCAGGGTGATAACACCACTCTGCAAAACAAACAACATGGAACAAATCCCTGTTTAAGGCACAGTACCATCACAAGGGGCATATGTTAGCGTAGACTGTATAGAATCCATTGATGGATTGTAGGACAGTCATGTACTGGTATGTACGGAAATCTTTCAAAAGCTTCTTGCATCCAAAAATATGATTCACCACTCCTCTGAGGGGTCAGAAAGCAGGAATCTTTGAGAAATAGATGCAATTCCAGAAGAATTGTGGAACTTAGGTGATGGCTAACCCAGCAACAGAGCCCACCGGATCAGGACTGTCCAAACTCTTCACCCATGCCAATAATAATTGGGGAATCCAGGAACTGGAACCCAGGCATGGGCTCCCATCTGCCATTTGAAACAATTCACAGATTCTCCTCGACCCTGTGAAAGTCCAGCCCAAAGAGTGGAGCATTAACACCAGCATGGACGGATGGACCAAATGGCCAGTTCTTTTCCTGTCAATCCTGCCTGTTGATGGACTTTAGAACAAATGACACTGTCTGATGGCGAAGCTGGCAGCCAGCAGTCTATCAGCCAGCAGTATCAGAACTCTACAGTACAGTACACACTGTCTCCTCATTGCAAATTCCTCCATCATACACAGATAGCGAGCAAAACAGGCAACAAAATACACAGTGAAATGCATGTCAAAGGAAGGCTGGCAAGGCATTAGTTGCAAGCGAGCATTAGGTATTAGGAGCTTAAAGATGGACATGTAAATAGCACACAAATTACAGTGAAAATGCAGCCTGTCAAATACATTAGTCTGTTCATGAAGTGATAGCTTGCGACAAGTACAATAGATGAACATCAGCAGGCCTGAATAAGACAAGGCTAACCTTACTGTGAACAATTGTGAACAAGAGCACTAATTGCGACCTGGTATTGATCACTGAGCACAGTCAAAAAATGGGTCTGTGGAAATTACAACCAACTGTAAAAAGTGAAGAATGCTAATTTCAAGGATGAAAATATATTTTGAATGTTTAAAATCGTCCTCTAGAATGGTATTGATGCTTTCAATGTAGTTATGGTTATTCAGCTCAATATAAATGTGCAGGCCTGCAGTAGAACAGCTAAAGGGATTAGCTGCTGAGAGAAACAAGGCTTTATACTGAGCTAGACTTGAGTGAGATTGTTGTTACTCACTGTTGCCTCTGATTACAGGGAATCAGTCGTCCTCTACTTCAAGCCTATCCATCAGGATAAAACGCTGCGTCTTCAGGAATGCCCAGGCGAGATGACAAACCCGCGCTGTGACGCTTTAAAATTCCTGCCTTTCCTTTAAAAGTGGAAAGAAGGGGACAATTCAGTTTGAAGCCTTTGTTGATGGTTGAGACCAAAACAGAGGCAATTTAACATGACTGGCTGTGAGTAGGCTCACTATACAGATAGTCAGGCTTATTTATCGTCCACCCTCCTCCTCTCGGTGCACTGATTATGTTTTATTCGCAATGCTTCTCTTCTCCAGGCACCATTCAGCAGAGCCTAGCTCCAGCTGACAGCTACATCAGCTGGTGATTGGGCTTCTCCGCAACAAGAGACCGGTTCCTCCCCTGTTGATTGGAAGACTGTGCCGTCAGTCAGGGGATAGGGATTGCTCCAGGAGCAGATTGTGTAGAGCCAGATTCTGCAGTAATTTCTATCTGGCAGCTCCGACTGAGACTCTGACTGGGGAAGGGCAGCATTTTTAACTGTGTTACTATTTTCACAGACAATCCTCCCCTCCCCTATTGTCTTCCGCACCCTTCTTCCATCCTCAAGTAATGCAAACAAATATTAGAATTTTTGTTCAAAACAATGCAGATTCCACTTTTTTCAATGCTCACTCACAGATGTGGGCATCACTTGCTATCTGGGTTTATTACACATCTCTAATTGTCTAGACTGCAGTTAAGAGTCAATCACATCACTGTGGAGTAAGAGTCACATGTTGGCCTTGCCAAGTTAGGGCAGCGGGTTCCTTCCCTGAAGGGCAGCAATAAAGCAGGCAGGTTTCCCCCAACAATCAACAATGGTTTCATGGTCATCATTAGATTATTAATTCCAGTTTTTTTTCCAATTGAATTCAAATTCCACCATCTATCATTGTAGGACTTGAACTCAGGTCCTCAGAACATTACCTGTGCTTCTGTATTAATAGCCTGGGGATAATACCACCAGGTCTTTGCCTCCCCATCATCTTTTGTGGCCTGCCCACTCCATGGCATAGGAACATAGGAGCAAGAGTAGGCTATTCAGCCCATCAAGCTTGCTCCACCATTCAACTAGATCATGGCTGATCTCCTGCCTCAATGACATTTTTACACACTATCCTCATAAGTCAGCACAGTGGTCAGCTCTGCTGCTTCACAGCGACAGGGACCTGGGTTCATTTCCACTCTTGGGCTGCTGTCTGTGTGGAGTTTGCACACTTTCCCTGCGTCTGCGTGGGTTTCCTCTGGATGCTCTGGTTTCCTCCCACAATCCAAAGATGTGCAGGTTAGATGGATTGGCTATGCTAAATTGCCCATAGAGTCCAGGGATGTGCAGGCTAGGTGAATTAGTTATGGGAAATGCAGGGTTACGGGGACAGGGTGAGGTGCTCTTCGGAGGGTTGGTGTGGACATGATGGCCCAAATGGCCTGCATCCATATTGTAGGGATTCTATGATTCTATCTCTTTCTGTCTCTAATATGGCAACAGACTGGTGCACTGTCCACAGATGCCAAGCACCAACCAGTACACATTGCTCACATGGGCACTCCACAAGCCAGACTAGCAAAAAAAAGGCAATTCATTGACAGAAGGCATGACAGTCAAATGGATCTTGACAATACACACATGTGACATATCATGGGGGTTGTGGGCTAGAGGTGCTGATTGTTGATCACCTGCACAATTAGGGTGTGTACATCCATGTTTTCCAGGGAGAGAGCTCCAATGCTCAGGCAAACAGCATCCCCATAAGCAGCCCTGGTTCACGAAACCTGCCCGTAAATTACACTCGCTTTTAATTTCCTATATTGGAGTACACCTTATGCATCAGTGAGATACAGGAGAAAGTTTGTGGAGACTACCTAGCCACCTTCACTGAGTTTTGTGATCACAGTTAACTCATATACACTGACAAAAATTTGTAGCAATCTTCTTTTAGTTTAATGAGTTTGTTAAGAAGCAGGAGTTTAGATATGTTACATGTGTTACTTAGACAAAGAAAGTAAATGACCGTGACAGATGAGATTGCTCATCAATGCAAGATGATGCCAACACCGGATGACTCCTTGCAAGCTCCCTACAGCAGACCTAACTTTAACATTTGTTATAACCATTCTACACTTTTAAACTTAAATTCTAAATTTGTAAAAATTACTAATAATGCTCTTTAACGTTGATCTCGCCTAGCACATGCCCTGAGCAATGTAACCTGTATGCCTCTGTCTAAGTCTTTTTGATCTGTACATCCTTTGTTTACTATGATCTACCTAAAACTAAACAAAGCTTTTAACTGTATTTTGGTGAATGTGACAATAAATCAATCACTCAATGAATCAATCCCAAAGCTGTATTGTAGAATGGAACAGCAAGAAAGTGTGAAGTCATGCACTTTGGTAGGAAGAATAAAGACATGGACTATTTTCTAAATGGGGACAAAATTCAGAAATCTAAAGTGCAAAAGGACTTAGGAGTCCTAGTCCAGGTTTTTCTTAAGGTAAATCTGCAGGTTGATTCAGTAGTTATGAAGGCAAATACAATGTTGGCATTTATCGTGAAAGGACTAGAATGTAAAAGCAGGGATTTACATCTGAGTCTCTGTAAAGCTCTGGTCAGACCACATTTAGAATATTGTGAGCAATTTTGGGCCCCATACATCAGGAAGCATGTACTGGCCCTGGAAGAAGTTCACAAGGAAATACACAAGAATGATCCCAGGAGTGAAAAGTCTTAACATACGAGGAACGTTTGAGGACTCTGGGTCTATACTCAATGGAATTTAGAAAGATGAGGGGTTATCTAATTGAAACTTACAGAATACTGAATGGCCTGGATGGAGTGGATGTTGGGAAGGTGTTTCCATTGGATGGAAAGACTAGGACCCGAGGGCACAGCCTTAGACTAAAGGGAAGACCCTTTAGAACAGAGATAAGGAGAAATTTCTTCAGTCAGAGCGTGGTGAATCTATGGAATTCATTCCTACAGAAGGCTGTAGAGGCCAAGTCACTGAGTATACTTAAGACAGAGTTGGATAGGTTTTCATGGCAATCAAAGATTACGGGGAGAAAGTGGGAGAATGGGGTTGAAAAACTTGTGGACTAAGACAGTGGTCCCTGACATTAACTCTGGTTTTTCTTCACAGATGCTGTCAGACCTGCAGAGCTTTTCCAGCAACTTCTATTTCTAATGATCTGGACCTGAAATGTTAAGTCTGATTTTTCTTCACAGATGCTGCCAGATCTGTTGCGCTTTTCCAGCATTTTCTATTTCTAATGATCAGGACCCAAAACATTAACTCTGATTTTTCTTCACAGATGATGCCAGGCCTGCTGAGCTTTTCCAGGAACTTCTATTTTTGTTCCCGATGGCACTGTGTTTGTTCTCATTCTGTTAATCGTTCTGTTTTCCTAAGTTGAGCCAAAATAGACTAAGCTGTGAGGCCAGTGGGCACAAAGATCTGGCTGAGCAAAGTTGTTACATCATTTACCAGTAAAGTGTAAATCCACGTTAAGAGCACGATATCTTTCCTGCGGTAACTGTATGCACATTTGTTTTGCGTTTGGAATATACATAAATTGTGGAAATTTAGTTTGGAGGAACATTGTTGCTTTTGTACATTGTGCAACGCATGTTTTCCATCTTGTGAATCCCTGGGTTCCATTTGGAAAATATGGTCACTGTGTGCAAGATCCCCACTCTGACCTGAACCCCCTCCCTCCCAGAGGCATGGAGGGTGACTTTAACATCACCATTCATGGCAGCCTTGGCTGTGAGCAAGTGAATCAGTGCAGGCTGCTGATACAAGCTGGGAGCTGTATGGTTGAGTAACTCACTGACATATTCAGATACGATAGCTAAATGAAAATCTAATTTGCCTACTTTTCCTCTGTGGACAGGTTATTAGATTTGCAAACATGATCTTCTAGGTTAAGCAATGCTCTGCCACACTGTACAAATATTAGAAGTGAAACTGTTTTCAGAGTTGCCACGTTAATATTATAAAACGCCAGCAAATCTCCCCACCATAATATCTTAATAGGTAGAACAACAGCAGATGCTAACAAATATATTAATTTTAATCTACCTTAGGTTGTTAAGGTTTTATTGTTAAATAGGGCATTGTACACATAATTTTAAAAAATGGTCAGCTAAATCAATAACGGATACGAGTGTAAAGTACTGAGTAATGAGGGGAGAATGGCCAGCACACTTATGGGGCTGAATTAGGGAAAGTTGATGGTGCATCTTGTGACTTAATTGACAGCCAGTTTCAAGTCCCATTCCAGACGTTTTTCACAGCATGGGGTTCAGCCAGATTGATCACCAGCCTGCTTTTTGGTTTGATTTGATTTATTGTAGTCACATGTACTAAGTACAGTGAAAAGCTTTGTTTTGTGAGCAGTACAGGCAGATCATAGCATGTTAACCCTTCCAACACACTCCCAATATCCACCAGTTGGGAAAGAAGTATGGGTGAAGAGGTGAAACAAACAAAGTAATTTGATGTTTGAAAGGAGCTTGGAGTTCTGGTAGACAATGACCATCTCTAACCAATGAAGAGCAGAAATCAGCAAAACCAGTTTAACGATATACTAAACATAATGGAGTGCAATTCAGAGGAAGCAATGGTCACACTGCTCAGTGCTCTGTTGAAACCGTACTGGGTTGAATTCCAGACATTAAGGAGACAATCGGTGCAGACAGTGAGGAGATAGAAAACTCACAACGTCAGTCTCTGGAATTAGGATCACCAAGATCATAAACTTGACCCTCTCCGCCTTCAAAATGTGTGAAAGGTGTGGTAACCTCTGGCAACTTAAATTAAATTCTGAAAGGAGGATCTACTCCACAGTAAATAAACAAACTTATGACAAATATCACAAAGTTGTTTACACAGAGTGATCTACATTCGAAATGTAGTTTTGGTGAAGATGGAAAGCCTGGTCTATTTAATCACATTAAAATCACAACCAGTCAAAAATCACATGAAAGCAGGTTATAGTCCAACAGGAACAAAAACAAAGTTGCTGGAAAAGCTCAGCAGGTCTGGCAGCATCTGTGAAGGAGAAAACAGAATTAACGTTTCGGGTCTGGTGACCCTTCGTCAAAAGGGTCTGAGGAAGGGTCACCAGACTCGAAAAGTTAACTCTGTTTTCGCCTTCACAGATGCTGCCAGACCTGCTGAGCT